CTTCCGACCCAATACGGGTAGGATTAATCCAGAAAGACGACCATTTCTTGCGGATTAAACCTATCCCGTGGAAATCGGCAGAATGCGATATTGAAATTTGGGGAAATTCGTACAATGCGATTATTGATTCCGGGGCAACTATTTTGGCAATTTCGTTAAGGGTAGTTGAAAGGGCCGGTAGGAAGAACGATCTGATCATGCTTTTCGAAAAACATCAGCTCGTCTCGGTAGATGAGAAAAGATTAAAACGGTGGGGAGAATGACCAATGTTGCGTTCCGATTGGGAAAAGTGCATGCACTGGGAGATGTTGTCGTATTAGTTGCGAATACCTACGACGTTCTTTTCGGACTTCCTGCTCTTGTGGCTTTACGAGCAAACTTGGACTTTGAACGAAGATCGATCATCCTCCGTAATACAGGAGGAAAACCCTACGCTGTGCCTATGCGATTAACCCTTCGTACAACCACCAACACGGTCCCCCGAGTCTCGCCAATGTTGGCCGGAACCGTTCGCATGATCTCCTGGGGTGAATCCGCCGATGGAAAGTCATCGACGAATGATGCGGACAGTAGTGACGAAGATGATCCGGAGATCTTGAAATTAGTACGACAGCGCATTTACTACCCGCCGCCCAAAACGATAGCGAGAACGATGCAACTGACCAGCCGAAAAATTCAGAGGACCAAGGCGATGATCTTGGGTGAGCCCCTCGTGCAGATTTCGAGGATGGTCGATTCTTTGGAACCCCCTCAAACCCTGTACGAAGGGATCACCCCTCTCCTCGCCCGATATAGCGACAAGAAGCATTACTGTGACATTACAGATCTACCCAAGTCCTTATTGACGTCTGCTAAAGAAGTAAGATTGTTTCGCTCCTGGGCGTCTCGAAGCAGAAACAGACGAACTGGGGATAAGGATCGCCACCAAGAATGTGCCATGGCAGGATATCTGTGATGGGATTTACCCCGGAAGGGCACGTGGCCATCCGAGAAGAAGACGCCCAGATGATGGTCGCGGTGTTCTCCTGGCGATTGGACCACTCGTTCATCTCGGCGCCTCCGCCCGACGTGTCAAAACAGACGCGCACGAAACAGCTTGACGTTTGGATCAAGGATCAACCTTTTGAACTACACGTTCCACAGTACTTACCGGATGAAATCCACCAGGTGATTGCGGACATTCTAACGGAATATCAAGGAGCGATTAGCGTGACAGATACTGACATTGGCTCATCGTTAGTAATCCAACATGAAATTCGGTCAGGAAATTACTCCCTGATTGCAAACCTTACCGGTACTCCTTGATTGAACGCAAAAAGGCTCTCGAACGAACTCGGGAATTCGAAGCCAGCGGTTGGATTGAACCTGCCACCGGACCTTGGTCATTTCCCGTGGTATTAATACCGAAGAAAAACGGAGCGATTCGCATTTGCATTGATTATCGCAAGCTGAATGAAATCACGATCAAAGATGTGTATCCCCTCCCTCGGATTGATGATTTATTGGACGCGATTGGATGCGCTAATTATTTCAGCAAGTTTGATATTCGGCATGGCTTTCATCATTTTCTGGTAGGGGAGGAAGATCGGCCGAAGACGGCCTCTGTACTATTTGAGGGCACGTGGCAGTGGGTTTGGTGTCCGATGGGGATTTGCAATGCGCCTGCCACGTTTTTGCGAGCGATGAACATGACGTTCCATAATTTTGTCAACAAGACGCGGCTGACGCAAGGGATGATTAACTTCTGCGTGATCGTGTACATGGACGATATCCTGGTCTATTCGGAAACCTATCACGGACACGCACAACATATTGAATGGACATTGGGCGCGTTGAGAGACGTTGGGTTCAAGATTGCGCTCGAGAAGAGCGAATTTTTCCTCTCGGAAATTTCGTTTTTGGGCTACGTCGTGACACGTGGAGGACTACAACCGGACTCAAGGAAGGTTGCAGCGGTGAAAGAAGTCGGCGCTTCATCAAGGGCTTTGCCGCGATTGCACGACCACTAACGAATCTGCTATGAAAGGACCAGCCTCTCAGCTGGGACGCGGAGTGCCAACAGGCCTTTGCAACCCTCAAGGACGCCCTGGCGATGGCCCCTATTTTGATCCGGCCGGACCCCTCGAAGCAATTCATCCTCATTACGGACTGGCAACCGGAGGCCATTTCCGCTATTTTAGCGTAGAAGGGGAACGATGGCCGTGAACACGTCATCGAGTACGCATCGCGCACAGTGCCCGACGAGAGACGAAATGATTCAGCACCTCAAGGCGAGTGCTATGCAGTAGTTTGGGGAATCCAACACTTCCATCCGTATCTCTACGGACAGAAGTTTCGCCTCGTGACAGATCACGAGCCTCTGCTAGCCTTGAAGAAGCTCACCAACTACACGGGCATGATTGGCCGTTGGGCGGTGCGATATCGTCCATCGAAAGACAGAGCGACACGGCAATGCGGACGGGCTGACATGTCTGCACCGACCTGCCAATGTACCAAAGGGCGAGGAAATTACGCCGTGGAAAAAAACAGACTTGACCAAGGAGCCGAAATACGGACAAGTGGCAGTTCTTCCACGTGGCAAGAAGTAAAATGGTGGCGATGGGTGATGGAGGTAACCCCACTACCCCTCTTTCTCCCCCTTCCTCCTCGTCTCTCCTCTCCCTGCCTGACAAATTTTGCTATTTTTGCGAAGCTATCTCCCGCGTATACGTGCTCTCCATGCGTCCTAACGGGGAAGGGTATGCGGAGTGGATAGATTGCCGACAGTGTGTCGCACGAGCCCATGGCTCGTGCATCCAATATAGAAACGATAGTAAACCGTGGTTATGCCCCTTGTGCCGGACCGACAAGATTCCGACCGAGGCCCGCTTTTTGGATGCCACGTCAGAAGGGTTGGAAAAGACCCGGAAATTTAGAAGGGCCGAAGTATGGACTGATATTGCCTTAATTGCCACCCTAGTAGGTAACCCCCTCTAGGATTTCACCAAGGAAGATCGGAGGAGGGCCAACGAAAGGGCTCGGGATTATCAGTGGATAGAAGGTAGATTAGAAAAATGGAAAACGGACGGCAGTGGGAGTTGGATGGTGGTACCGCATCCGTTCATGCGATATGACTGGGTTAAGACGGCCCACGAGGAAACTGCAGCCCATTTTGTCATACGAATCACGGAGTCCACTATCGACAAAAATGAGTGGTATTGGTCCAATATCCGCGACGATGTGAAATACATCGTTGCCAACTGTCAAGTCTGCGCCGCTAATAAAGCGCCGATTCAGCCACCAAGATCGATAGTGCCCACGGTTGTTGAACAACCATTTCGAAGAGTGAGCATGGACACTACCGACATAGTGGTGCCCCCTGGCCCTAATAGTTGCGAATATTCAGTCCTATTGGTATTTGTCGACCATCTCTCGAAATGGATCGAGGCGTATCCTTGTCGCACGCGGCAAGCCACGGAAATCGCACGATATGTCAACCGTTTCCTCGGGATGCATCAGGATACGGAAGAGATCCTGACCAACAACGGGGCTGAATTCAGAGGAGAAGTGCTAAGGAATCTGGTCATACATGGCGTCGCCATAAGGAACACTGCACCCCACATGTCACAATCTAATGGGCTGGTCGAAAACGCTAACCGGGTGATAGAGACAGCATTACGACGAAACATCGCGGCACGGGATCCGAGGCCCTGGCCCGATATCGTCGATCACATCCTGGCGGTCCATCGCGGAACGCCCCACGAATCGACAGGGCTAAGCCCCTTAATTAAGGACCAATAGCGTCGCTTGCGTTTTGATACCGAACCTCCCAGATGAATCCTCGCTGAACCGAAGGCCCACTAGGGTTACGACTCGGGACAAGGCTAAACGGCACTTAAGAGTTGATGGAACGGTCCCTGCCCAGGCTAGCCCGAAAACGACAGAGAATGATTGAATTAGCCGAAGGCCGACAGGTCCGGAGCTACGAGGCCTGGAATGGGAATGCGGGTCCGCGGCCCCAGTACAAATTAGGGGACGTAGTGCAGGCAAGGAAGTGTGCTCGCCAGGGTAAGCTAGCGCCACGATTCTTCGGGCGATATCGCGTGATCGAACTCGGCCCTGACGGCGTGGACATCGTGCGTCTCGCCCCCGAGGTCTCTGGCAGTCGATCGGCTCGTCCGATCACACGCCACGTGTCCTATCTTCGCCTCCTCCCCTCTGCTCCATCTCCTCCTCCCTCGGTCTCTCCTTCCGAGGAAGCCGACGACGACGACTTTGACTCTCCGCCATCTTCCTCTTCCCCTTGCTCCCTCTCTGCCTCCCCGCCACCTTCACCATCACCATGAGTTTTCCGGAGGAAAGAACCCTCAGCGAAGCATCGCTTGCGCCCCGCGATCGATTGACGATCCGACAAGTCTATCATCCCCGCCTCAATCCAAATCTTTGGCGGCTCGCGCATTTTTTCTGCACGGAAGGCGTGTATGCAGCGGCAGTGTTCAGGATCGAAGGTCGGCCTAACGCGGTGGTATTGGCTGGGCTGAGGCGGTAGCCGTTCATCAGCGCGCGGCGCCAGGTGTCAGTCGCGTATCGGTCGTCATTAACTTCAACGGCGATCTCTCCGCGCTCCTCCTCTTGCGGCATTCGGCGGTGAAGGCAACGGCACGCGTGGGCAAATGATCTGGTCGCCGAGTGGGCCCAGCTTTTGGCTCGTCGCGAGGATACGATCGCGACGACACGGGCAGTTGAGTACGACGACCTTCAGATGTATCAGCGCGATCCGTCGGCGGAACTCCCTTCCCTTGTTCCTTTCCCGCGTCCCCAATGAGTCTCTCTCCAATCTCCATTTTTGATCTCCCCTCCACCTTCCCCACCTTCTGGCATTCCGACACCCATCCTCGCCTTTCCTATTGTCTAAAACCCCTTGCTGTCCCCCTTCTTCATCCTCCTCATTGGATCCTGTGGCGCGAGGACTTCATCGAGCTTTCACTGTGCTTGGTTGAGGTACGACTAACGTTGACCGGGGACGACACGAACCCGCCTTGCATAGAGCGCCTGGAGTTGCTGTTTATCCAGGCCTGGCGCACCAACGTGGAGGGGGAGCTTCTCGCATTTTTATTCGGTATAGTGCGAACCGGTCATCAGGAACTTATCACGCAAGAGCTCATGATCCCGGTAGCACAGCTGGCAGATGATCTCCCTCTTGACATCATCTCGCAAGACGACGAGCATCCAGTCCCCCACGTCCTTTCTCGCACGTTAACACCTTATCTTCAGTGGTCGGCTTGCGTGGAGGGAGCCGCCGAGCGTATCCCGCCGTCGCAGCAACAATACTTGGATCCCCGGACGGCTCGCGATCCTGCCTTCTTCAGGCACCCTACAACGGAACAGCTTGCTGCCATTCGAGTAGAAGAGGAAGAAGAAGAGAGCTCCGGGAGTTACGAAGGCGAAAACGCGAGGGGAGAAGGCGGGGATAGTGACGAAGTGTTCGGCGAAGAAGACGAAACCCCAGAAGAAGAAAGCTATAGCGAGTATAGCGAGGGGGAACAGGGCGAAGAAAAAGAAGAAGACGAGGAAGGAGAAAAGGAGCACGAAGAGGAATCTGCTGGATCGGAGTGGGAAGCCGTGCCGGAGGAAGCACTGCGTACGGGTACGCAGGCGGAAGATCCCGAGGCGGACCGCAAGAGAGAAGAGATTGCGGCCGGAAAGCAGTTGGAACTCACGAGCGCGGCGAGTCTGCAAAGCTACGACGACCCGAACCAAGATCCGGAGCCGCCCCGACCTGAAGATGGCGACCTCGCGGCCACGACTCCGACCCCATCAGCGTGGCGAAGAAGCCGATCCCCCTCCTCCCCAACCCATCCCCCAGTTCGCCGCATACCGATACGGGCGATCGGCCTTCGTCCCCGATCACTTTCTCGTCGTCCCCTTGACTACCTCACCCTCCGCCAGCTCTCCACCCCCGTCACATTCCCCTCCAATCCGTTCCCCCGCAACACCTTCCGTCACTTCTACGCTGCACGTCTCGCTGTAGTGGTGCATCCCCATCCCTCCCTCCGATGCGTCGTCCCGGCCTTCTGCCTCCATGTCTTACTCCTTCGCGCCGCGTGGCGAGGCCACAACATGATCGAGGTTTATTGCATGGTAACGGGGACCATCCCCGCATGCGAAGACCGCGATCGCTTCCGCGCGGCACTCTTCCGAACTCTCACCACCCTCTACCCCGACTATCTTGCGTCCCTCCCTCGTGCTGGCAATCGATTCCCCCGCTTCCACCGGATCGTTCGCTATCAGGAACTCCCGGAGACTGTGGCCGGGATGGAAGCGCTCCTACCTTCGCTACCCACAAACCCTCCACCCCGCCATGCCGCCATGTACCGACTTCCTTTCCCCCTCCCTGTCAACTACTGATGCAATGGTAATGGACGCGTGTCGCAGCGATGACATGAGAGAGGTCCCGTCCTGGGATCGTCAAGAGCCCAATCTGAGGAACTAGTAGAAGAGCAGTGTTGCCACGTTGGATGATGTCCACACGCAATCAAACGGTAAGTGGCATAGAGAGAAATGCTTCGTGTGTCGATCGATTAGAGAAATCGACACGTGTCAACAAGCAAGCAGGAGCTTGCTAATATTGGAACCCCTTGGGCGTCACATATGTGACGAACCACTTTCTGTAATGTGCTACTTTCTGCGCGGTTGCAATAAGGGGTCCTAAGTTGGGAAGATTGGGCCAATTACGGGAGATCGGGATCGGTGGGAAATTGCATCAGTGTCCTTGCTTTTTCGTCCTTTTCGTCGTCTCGGTTTGAATGGTTGGGTTTGGAGCTGGGTGTGCCCGGGGTCTGTCGGTTGATTGATTGGTTGGCTGAATGGTTGGCGCGCCATCGCGCGCGCAATTAATAAATGTTGACGTCGTTTCTTTCGCTTCGGTTTTGATCTTTTGGGCGCGGACATCGCGCGGGAAATTGCTTCGTTCTTTTGAATTTTTCTTTTGAAGTCTTTTTCGAATTTTGTCGAGCCCCGATGGCTCTCGGAATTTNGCGCGGACATCGCGCGGGAAATTGCTTCGTTCTTTTGAATTTTTCTTTTGAAGTCTTTTTCGAATTTTGTCGAGCCCCGATGGCTCTCGGAATTTYGGACTTTCTTTCTGGAATTCGTTCTTTTTGCCTTTTCGCATTAGATAAGTAATTAGGATTTTTCCTGCCGCACGACGCCTTTTGTCTACACGTTTCTTTTTGCGGTTGCAACGGTATTCTGATTAGTAGGCGCGCTTAATCGGGTGTGTAACCGTAATTTTGGGCGGGCGCCATTGTAACTGTATCTTCCTTCTTGCACTTCGTCGTTCCCGCCCTCCTTCTCTTTCTTTTGCTACGTTTTTGCAAGTCGCGGTCTGCGTGATCGGATCGATGCGTGGAGAGTGGCTACCTCCCCCACGCCGCGGTCTGGCCATGCAGAACGTAGGCATCTCCACCCACTTCCTCCTGTTCTAAGTCCTATAATTCCGTGTTCTTCGCGCATGCATGCACACTGTAAATTTCGGCCGCGCGATTAGTTAACTCTCTTAACCCGTCGTTGAAAGCTCAGGGTTGCGCGAACAGGAAGGGTCGGCACACGAGCGAAGTAAGAGGTGAGTAGAGCAGGAGTTGGGCGACCCGACGGGCTGGTGCCAAACGCGCGGGATTGACTCGGGCCACGACGGACTGTGGGCACGGGCGAATCTGACGGGTGCGGGAGGACTAAGCGGGGTGACAACTTCGTGGGTTGGTGCGTGAMGACGGAYTGTCCGCATCGRAAAGAAGAGAGAGAGAGGAGAGAGTTGAGGTTGATGGACGCGGAGTTGCTGTTTCTTTGTCTCTTCTCCCTCTTCATCTGTGTACATACATTTTGATTACAGCTCCGGGCAGTTTGCCCGCTCTTGTTTCCGTTTCGGCTTTTCGATTTGTTATCACACTTGTCCTTGCGATTTYCGTCTCGATTGCATTATGTGCATGATTGCTGAATGTATGGATATATGGGTGCTATGGTGGCTTGTCTATCTTTTTGCGGAGAATCCTTGTCTTTGCTTCTGTTTGTGTCGAATCTTTGCCGCATCTGATGCCATTGTAAATGGGGTAAGAATTTGGTCTCSATAAGMGATTCTGTTCTYGTTTTTGYTTGTCTCACGATCGGAATATGGTGTGGTTGCATCTCCCATAACCAAAACTTATAGAYGGTCCGATGACGGGCCTCGCRAACGCCGCGCAAGGATACGTGTAAACATAACCCGAATCGAGCGTTTACACKCATCCCCGTGCGGTTAATTCGCCCATCCCAAAGATTCGCGGCGGAGCCGTCATCCCGTACGAGCATGCCGGGGTGCGACCAAGTCCGCCTGTCCTACACNCCCGTGCGGTTAATTCGCCCATCCCAAAGATTCGCGGCGGAGCCGTCATCCCGTACGAGCATGCCGGGGTGCGACCAAGTCCGCCTGTCCTACACGTGCTCGTGCGCGGTGACGACAACCCAACCACAACTATGACACCATGACGCGATCTTGGAGCTCAGACTCATCCTATGACCCGGATTATTTCACCCCTTGGATAAACGAACTCTTAAGGCAACGATACCCCTGTCACACAGAAAACCGACTGTGCCCCCGAGAATTTCAYTGYGCCACCTCTAGTGATCCCCGRTGCTCTGACTTCCCTTCCCCCGACCACACCTACTACTTCATCCACTCGGGATTCGTCGTTGTCACCACCAGTTTCCCTCCGTTTCGCCTCCTTCTCCCGTATCATCAACTCAGCGTTGTTCCGTGGCCGGCCATAGCCCCCTATTGGCCCAACACACCCTGCGCAAATTGCCGACGTAACGGCGAACGGAGAACTTCATACTTTCGGAGGCCCAACCCAAACGCGCAGCGGCCTACTCCACGTGGCGGCCTTCGACGACCCAACCTTTCTAGACCACCTCCTCCTCGACGGGACTTCCCCACAAACCGTCGCCCACAGAACCCGTGTTCCGCCCGGCCTTAAAGGCACGCGCGGGCGCAGGTGCCATCTATTTCGCCTAATTGCAGTCATACCCTCAAGACTCCCTTCCCCAAAATCCTTGGCACACCCCTTTTCGGACTTCCAGGCCCATACTCCACTCCGATCAGGAAGTCGCGCTGGGCGTGAGGTTGGGCGTCAGTGAGATTCGAATTAGTGAACGGGAATGAATCTTCCCGACAACACGGGAAAATTCATTCCCGTCTTGCAGATTCGAACAGAGAGAGAGAGAGAGAGAGAGAGAGAGAGAGAGAGAGAGAGATGGCGAAATTGGCTGCGCCAGGTGAGTTGGGCGCCGACTCTCTCTCTCTCTCTCTCTCTCTCTCTCTCTGTGTGGCCGCGCGGTTGGAATGTGCAAAACGGGAATGAATTTTCTCGTGCTGTCGGGAAGATTCATTCCCGTTACTTCGAATCTTTGAGAGAGAGAGAGAGAGAGTAGGCGCTAAACTCTCCTGGCCCAGCCTATTTCGTTGTCTGTGTGTGTGTGTGTGTGTGTGTGTGTGTGTGTGTGTGTGTGTGTGATTCGAACTAGCAAAACGGGAATGAATCTTCCCGACAGCACGGCAAAATTCATTCCCGTTTTGCACATTCGAGCTGCGCTGCCACACACACACACACTGTGACACACACACACACAGTCCGGACTCTCTCTCTCTCTCTCTCTCTCTCTCTCTCTCTCTCTCTCTCTCTCTCTCTCTCTCTCTCTCTCTCTCTCTCTCTCTCTCTCTTGGGCTTCTTTGTTTTTCAATTTCTTTTTGTTTTTTTGTTTTTTCTTTGTTTTGATGTGTACCTACCGGTAGCTCGAGGCTCGACAAGGTTCGGGATACCGGTAGGCTGAGCCACGGGCCTTCACAACCGCTAGGTACTGGTGGTTTAAACCACCAGTACCTCGCTCAGCTATCGGCCGCGGGCCTTCCCGTATCCGCGCCGCAACCTTAGGGGGGTCGGCCAAGTCGTAGCGCGAAGGCTGGGCCCCGGTTCTGTAGGGACGACACTACTACAGATAAACAAAAAAAGAAAGAAAGAAAAAAAAAAGAAATACACAAACAAAAAAATAAATGAAATACACAAAAGGAAAGTCGCGCGGGAGGGAGGGAGAGAGAGAGAGAGAGAGAGAGAGAGAGAGAGAGAGAGAGTTCAGCGCGACCCTCCGTGCAGGTCGTCGCCCCT